TGAGTTGAAATCATGACAGTCTGTGTTCTTTGAGATCGTTTAGAAACATTGTTTATAATATTGCACGAGTGTGGGTAAGGATTAAATATGTATATATATATATCAATACAAAAATAAACTACTACTTGTACTACTATTCCTACTTCGCGGTTTCTCATTTATCGCGGGTCTTCAGGGTACGGATCCCCGGCGATAAACGAGGGACTACTGTACACATTTTTCTTTTCTTTTTAAATTTAGTGGGCGTGGCTTATATTCAGGTGCGCTCTATAGTACGGAAATTAAGGTAATTGTAATAAATAAAAAAAAAGAAACCCATTAAATTTCAGCCCACAAAGAACAACCAGCTCCATTATTTCATAAAGAGTGCAGGATATTCCACCGTCTCATGTGCACCCCCCCACACACACACACACACCTTACATGTTTGACCTCTGATTCTCTGTGTCATAACTGAGTAATGTTGACGCATTTTAATGCTGCTCTAACATCTCCAGCCGCATTCTGAAGTGATACCCATGAATAATGGATTAGTCAATATGAAAATGTGTTGTAGTGAATCAAGTTTTCCCTCCTCCATCTTCTGCCTCTTCCGGCTGCTTCTTTTTTTTTCCCCTCCCATCCTGCTGTTGTGGGATAAAACTAGTGGTTGGATACAAATCTGAGAAATCATCTTTTAAATTTCCCTCTTTTGTTTAGCTGTTAAAAGCGAACCCATCTGCTTCTCAGTTCCTGTCTCCTCTACTGCAGCGCTCACGTTGTCTATTTCCTGCACCTGCTATGTTCTCTCTCCCTCTCTCTCTCTCTCTCTCTATATATATATATATAAGCATTTTGTGTTGTTACTCTGTGTTAAAACGCGAACAAGTTGTTAAAACTTGATATATTTGCTGCGGATCTCAGCTCTTGTAGTGATTATCTATTTTCTTGAAGCTCGACAGGAGTGACGTGGATGCGACCTTAGACAGAGAACGCTTGTGACTGACTATTTTCTGACATTTCAAACACTAATGAGCTGCAGGACTGGAGCGCTGAACCATATGGGGCCTTTGCAGCAGCAGGTGCACGCAGGTTACATCAAAGCACCATGTGATAAGACCTGGATAAAAAAGGGGATTATTTTCTATGCATGTTGGCATATAAAATATACAGTTTCTGCTTCAGTGGGTCACCTTTGAGAGCTCAGGGTGAAATCTGCATGAAAAGCTGCAGTTTGGGTAAAAAACAACAGCAGAGTGTAAAGTCTACCTGCATACAGTGCCTACAGTAGGTGAGAAAAAATATGCTTGTATTCACTTTAACTCCTTTGTTTCTCTCTGCACACCTCTCCCCTGTGTGTCCCTCCTCCCGTCGTGTCATCTCCCCCTCCCTCCCCTCTCCCTCTCTCTCTCTCTGTAGCTGTTCTACCGTGTGACAGACGAGAGGGCTCGCCAGGCAGAGCTCTACTTGGTGGGGATGGTGTGCTACTATGGCAAGCACTACTCCACCTTCTTCTTCCAGACCAAGATACGCAAGTGGATGTACTTTGACGACGCCCACGTCAAAGAGGTGAGACGGGTTTTTATGTTTTTGTTTTAGTTTCTATACTGCAGCATGAGTAGGGTGTGCTGGGCAGCATCTGCTGCAGCCCTAAGCTGTGTCTGTGAGAGTCACAGGAACTAGTTGAAGTGCTGCTTGACCAGGGTGCAGCGTGGATCTTAATTTGTGGCCTTAAGTTTTACCTCCTAAATTTGGGCAATAAAACTGGCCTCGTGTCGTAAATTCAATGTAAACACGAGTGTCAGATCAGAGGATGCAAACAGACGTCCTTGACTCCTCTATCAGGCTCACTTCACACTGATGATCATTTTAGGTGATTGAGCAAGTGATGAAGCGCAACGCTGTGATTAAATCACACATTAGCACAAATTATATTTGACCTTCTGCTTTTGGTAGCATTTGCATAAAGTTATTAAGTAATGCAGGCAGTTTTCCGTTCTTTATCTTGGTGTGTGTGTTTTGGTGCACCTCCAGATCGGCCCCAAGTGGAAGGACGTAGTGTCTCGCTGTATCAAAGGCCACTATCAGCCCCTGCTGCTGCTCTATGCTGACCCCCGAGGGACGCCGGTGATACTGCAGGAGAGCCCAAACTCTTGTACCAGCTCCAACCCGCAGCTGGAGCTCCAGCACTGCAGCAGCAAAGCTGGTTACGACAGCGAAGACTCAGGTACAGCAGAAATGAACCCTGCCTCACATCAGATGCGATTACTTTGTCTTTATCAGCTGCTTGCATGAGATGATTCAGCTTTAAAGCTCTGACCTTCAGTGCAATAATCCAACCTCTGCTTCTGGATACTGCAGAGAAAGCTTCTTTTACCGCCCTTGACTGTAAACAAACCCAAGTGTGTGCAGGATTACCTTAAAGGTCATCTATTCTTTCCCTTTCAGGTCGAGAGCCGTCCATATCCAGTGATACTCGCACTGACTCTTCAACAGACAGCTCCAGTCATCGCACTTCTCGCAGCCGGCCCTTGCACCAGTCTACGGGCAGCCACCTCTCCAGTGAATCCCAGACCACAGTGGTCTGTAACTACGACATTGGCACACCGCCACTTGGTGCTGACGCTGGAGGTAAAACTGAAGAGCCAGAAGTAGCTCCACCATGTCCTCCCGAAGTTGTAGGATTAGTTGTATATCTGTGTAAAAAAAACAAAAAAACAATAGACTTGTTCCAAAAATTATGACCAAATGGTTGCAATTAGCCCAGATTTCAAAAGGAAAGGCAACCAATATCAAATTTTGAGCCAAGTAAGATCATGACATCACTGCAGCATCCTGCTGATGAAGCAAATGTAGTATTTTTTAAATACAGTAGTCCCTCGTTTATCGTGGGGGATCCGTACCCTGAAGCCCCACAATAAGTGAAAAACTGCAAAGTAGGAATAGTAGTACAAGTAGTAAGTAGTGGTTTATTTTAGTAGAGTGATATATATACACACACATTAAGGTGTTTTAAACCCCACACTTTTGCAATATTCTAAACAATGTTTCTAAACAATGTTTCTAAACTCTAAACGCTCTAAGAGCACAGAATGTCATGATTTCAGCTACCTGCCTCACCTGCTCTTTGCCACCTGCAAGCATTTTTGGCTACGCCCACTTCTCCTCTCTTCACAGAGAACAGCTGATCAGCTGCAGCAGGAAGCTTATTCTGCAGCTCTGGGCTGCGCCCAGGTGCAGCAGGTGCTAAATAATTTAATATGATTTATTAAAAAAAAAAATTCCATGCTGATGGTGCAGCTCATCCATCAATCAGCCATTTGTGTGTCAAGTCCAATCGTATTTTGGAAAAACCACGATAGAGAGAGTCCACCATTAACAAACCGCGATGTAACGAGTGACTACTTTAATGCTAAATTGTTGTCATTTTCTACATTTATGCATTCAACTTCCCTTTTTAAAGCTGCATTTTAAAACATCCAAATTTCAAAAATATTACTAATGAACTTTTCGTTTGTGCGCACATTTGAGATGGATTTAAAAGCTTCAGTTGTGCTTCTACATATTCACCGTAGTTTTGTGATTTATATAAGATAACCGTTGGTGACTGAACTGCCCCGCTCTAAAATTAACTGCAACCAACAGTTAATGACTGGACGCTTCATTAACAGCTTCGCTAGAGCTCACGGTTTATCATGGGTTTGAAATATCTGTGAAATGCACACGTCGCTGCAGCGTTTTCAGGGAGTGAGTTTGCTGAGCCACAACACTTGTTGTTCGTACAGTTAAGAGCAAGCAGAGGTCAGTGTGCAGGTTTCAGTGAAACGAAGAGAGTTCTTTTTGTCTTTTTTTCATGACTGCAGCCTCTCCAGGTTCTGGGCCTCATTAGTGGATTTTTCTCACATTTATTTGCACTGCTGCTTGCATAATTGCTCCCCGCGGGATAAATAAAAGTTATTGGTTTTGCTTGCTCCTCCCCTCTCTCTCTCTTTCGCCCACGTTCAGAGTCGGCAGTGGAGGGTGCTCCTCGCCGCCCCTCTCCCCCCCTGCAGGAGTACAAGGAGACGGCCGTCTTCCTACTCTCTTCACGCAGGCCCCTCACCTCCTCCTCCTCGTCCTCTCGCCCCCTCTCCTCTTCGTCTTCGTCAGGAGTTGGAGGCTGCGAGGGTGGGGCCGGGGGTCCCCATTGGGAGGATGAAAGCACGAGCAGCGAGAGCAAGTCCAGGTACTGCACCGCTGATTGACACCCTGCCACTGGATTCACATTCAGATCCCGTGATCGTTCACTGATCGATAATAAGAGCTGTAAGTCTGCAGCGTTAACCGTCAACCCTTATTGCCACAGAGAGTTCGTCTTGTCATCTTTGATTTTCCAATCGTACAAAGGAAAAATAATTAAAAATAATAATAAATCAGACTTTCCTGTGAGGGAATGAAACATCAGTTGGTGAATTTCTAAGAAAACAAGTATTGTCTTTTTGTGACTTTAAGTCAAATCAGCAATTCTGATATTTGATGCAGCAGAAAAGTTATAACTAAAGTTAAAAATTTATCCTTTGTGAACTTTAGAAATTTTTCTTTTTTGATGAAAATCTGAACCTTTCACTTAATAGATCTTTATTACACTAAGTGGGACTTAAGCAAGGCTACAAAAGTTTTGATAGATCCAATATAAATAAATTAAAAGGTTTGGCATCAAACAAAAAGTAAAGAGTTTTCAGAATGTGACTCTTTTTCTTATCCCCTGAGTCAGTGGTTCTCAAACTGGGGTCCCCGAACCCCCAGAGGTCTGCGAACTGGAGCTTGGGGGTCTGCAAAAAATTATTTATTTTTTTTACAAGAATGTAGATGTTTAACAACCCATTAAAACACAGCAAAATGCAGGAAATCACATCTACTTTATTCAAAAATTTCTGGGGGAGGACCCCCACCCACTATTTGCATTCTAGCATCGATCAGTTTACAGATTAAGACGTGTTACTTGGTATGACTACTACTGTTGTGAATCTGTTCAGTTTTATGTAATAATCTGAAGAAATGGCAATACATTTGTGTTCATTATTTGCCAAGATGACGTTTTAATGTGGTTTTTGATGCTGTTAATTTTCTCAAAACTGTAATTTTTGGAAGTTGAAATTAAAAATGTTAATTAAGTGTGTCTTGAATGAGAAATACCCCATGTTGAAAAGTATAAAAATGGTATTAACACTATTAACGAACGTTACACTCCTGTAAATAGAGGAGAAAGAATTACGAGAGTGATTTTAATTTGCTTCTCTCTCAACAGTTTAATGCATATGTGTCAAACTCAAGGCCTGGGGGCCAAATGTGGCCCTCGTTGACATCTTATCTGGCCCCCAAGATGTAATATAAAATGCTAAATACTTTAATCACATTAATTTTTTTTCAGTAATATTTGATTATGATGTCAAAAGTGCAGCAGAGAATGTCAAATGAGACCAATCAAACTCTTGTTGAGAAACATGTGACCAAGAAAAGACGTTGGGTATCCAACGTGGGTTAATGTAGATTCTGAAACTGGCCCTTAGTTTAAAAAAGGTTTTAATTTTGGCCCCCATGTGTAAGTGAGTTTGAAACTCCTGGTTAAATGGAATCAAATATAAAGATTATACATGTTGCTCAATGTCATAAAATTGAGAAAAAAACCTAATTAATAAAGCAAAATAATAATGAACTGCCAAATATCAGTGTTTCACATATTTCTTAACACTCAAATAACAACAAAGTTCCTATTCTGCCGTTAGCTTAACAGCCATGATCTAATACACAACTGACAAACTGATGCACAGAAACGTCTAAAAACTCATGAAACAAAAAAAAAAAACTTCTAAAGTTCATAATAATAATAAATGATTATCTATAAAAGCTAATTGATAAACCAAAAATAAGAAGATATAACTAAACATCTGCGTTATAACATGTTTCCTCACAAAAAACGACAGTAAGCACAGTTTTTTAGCTTCAAAACTTAAGACCCATCACGAGAACAGGTCTTATTTATGTTACACAAATATTGCATTAAAGAGACAAATTGAAGGAAATTATTCAATAAACATGAGGGTTATGAGGGGGTCCCTGAACCCAAAACGTTAGAACCCTTGCCCTAGTACCAGTACTTGTTCAAACGTTCACACAAAGTGTGTCAAAGTAATAAAGTAAAGTAATAAAGGTAACAAAGTAATAAAAAAATCTTGGTGGAGAAACTTTAAGTTTTCATTTTATTTTCAAATGTTCACAATCCAACAGTATGCGAGAGCACCCAGAATATCTAACATTTGGCGCTCTTTCTAAAATAACCCCTAGAACTTTGCTGACTTAACGTCAAATCTTCTCAGTAGTTTGCCCGCCTCCTCCTTTCTGCCCACGCTGCATTAGCATTTAGATTCTGCTTATAGATCTGAACTATGAATCTCTTCCAGCGTGTTCATGCTCATCAGATTGTTTTTATTTCATTCTTTTATCTTCTCATTTCTTCGAGTCGTAATGACAAAGCGGTGTTGCATAAATTCTTATTACTGCTCTAAAAATAATATTACCTCTTTGATCTTTGAGCTATTCTACCTTTTCTTGGAACACATTACGTCAGGTTGCACATTTTTAATAGATTTCTTTATGTTTTATTGCACTAATCTAAATAAGGTTACTTTTTTTTTTAACTTCCCACTCATTTTTAAAATTTCTTTAGTTCTTCTGGAGGCTGTTACCGGCCCACCTGGAGGCCCAGGAGAGAGGCCCTAAACATCGACAGCATCTTCACTCGGCAAAGAGACTCATCTCTGGGCTACAACTCGGTGCCTGACCCCGCTCTCCCTCCAGAGCCCCTTCCTTTAGGATTACAGCCAGGACTGGAAGAAAGGAGAGAGACCGGGGAGGTGGGAATCGGGCTGGTTGGACAGCCCAGGTCTTTGGGCGGTGGACGGACAATGGGTCCCCCTGCTCCTCCGCCTCTGAGAGGGGTGGAGCACCAGCCACGTCTCATCCAGAGGATGGAGAGTGGCTACGAAAGCAGCGAGAGGAACAGCAGCAGCCCCGACAGGTAGGACACAAATAACAGTTACTGTCTGGCTTGTGTTGTTCATCACGTTTCCTCCTCCAGTTTCTGCCCTCTTACCGTTTTATTTCACTTCATTAGCTGGAACCACGAATGTGACATTAACAAGAACAAATGATGCAGAAGATGCGCTCCATAACGACAAATTAAGCAGCAAACACATTTGTCTTTCTGCGTTGTCTCGCTTACCGATTCCCCCACTTTTCTGCCCGCCTGTCTCTCTGTCCTCGCCCTCTTTGTTGCGTCGCTGCAGGGAAGTGGGGCAACAGAAACGGGTGCTGATGTCAGGACCTTCATGGCGTTCGGTGCCCAAGTCAAAAAGCAGTGGTGCCATCATGCAGAAGCTGCCTCCACCCAGCTGGGTCAGTGGCACCAATGCAGGTGTGACATTTTT